ACAGGAGACTTAGGGAGGATTACACAACATCAGGCTTTCTGTGTGTTTTGTTGATGTTGCTTTGTTCTGGGTTTTGGTCAACGAAAGAGAATCACCTGGACAGTGTCGCTGTGCTGTCTGTGCCTTTAGTTCTATATAGTCTTCCCTCCTCAAAAAACAGCCAGCCTGAGACTTAGGAAGGTGGGGGAATCACAGTACCCGGAGGCTTCAAACAATCCTGCTTTAGACTTTATGCTTTGCTTGTGCACCTGAACACTTCAGAGTCACGAATTTTCTACTCTTGACACTGAGTCTGTGACATTTTCCAAAACATCAAAGATTTCAGGTGGCAGGGCTGGGAGAAAAAGCTTCTAAGTTGTGTTTTAAATAGCTACCCTCGAGTCATGGGGCCGTGACAACTTTTCTGCATGCCTTAGTTGATTTTTGGTCCTATAACAAAATATCTGAGACTGAGTAATTTATAACAGAAAGAGGCTTTTCTTTTGCGTGATGGTTCTAGAAGCTAGACAGTCTAAGTGCATACTAACAACACGATCTTATGCTTCTTCAATGTATAGCAGAGAGCAGGCATGTGCAAGGGAGACGAAGAGAGGGATTGCCTTGCTTCACAACAAGCTACTCCTGTGGTAATCTGGGCCTATAAGAAATGGTCACTCATGTGAGAAAGGCATCATTAGTCCCTCTTAACCAAAACACCTCTTAAGGGCACTTCCACCTCTCAACACTGTTACAGTGGGGACCAAGTTTCAACATGACCAGGACAAACCATTCAAACCTTAGCACTGCCCAAATGGCTCAGGTAAAAATTAAATCCTAGGTAAAAATTAAATATTTATTAAAATAACAAATCTTCTCATTTAAAATACTCAATCAATATAGTGAATCACCGTTCTAAGCCAGAGCCAGAGTTTAAGGAACACGGACACCTGGGCAGTCTGTTACCATTTTTGCTAATTTTTAATTGCTATGCGCTACTGCATGATTTTACCCTGCTTCTAGTTCCCAAACCTAAATAGAAAGTCTCTCTGACCATGAACTTCAAATTTTAAGTCTTATCTAGTTTTAAAGCTCATATATGTAGCTCCAGTCCTTCGGGGATTTAGAGAAGGCATACAACCCATTTTCTCAGGACTGTACTGTGAAGTTCTAAACTACCTATATACAACTGTCCAGAGAGAGCCTGCAGGGCTGCCTTCCTAGAATTCCCAGTTGCTCTCAGTCTGATTCCTGTTCACTATCCGCTCCTTATTCTTTAGCGGGCCAGAAGCTCCACTCAACAACATGTAGTTTTGTGCCGAAAGGAATCTGCCAGCCCTAAGTGCATGCAAGGAAAGCAGACTGGCCATGCCAACAAGATTTTTTGCTGTTGCTCTCCAGTGGGACTTCCCTCTCTCAAACACCTTCACCTTTAAAACTCAGATGATTATAGGATCTCCTTAGACGACTATGTAAAACTCGCTACTAACTCCCAAAGCTGCACTCATCTCCTTACAACCTACTTCTATTTTTGTTTTGTTTTTCAAGAAACTAGGTCCTCTTATTCTGCAAAACATGTTTTTGTAAAGCACATCTCAATAGAATATAAAATTTTTGTCAGGCACACATAGTGGTTTCTTCAGAAATTTTAGACATTGTATCTTTGAGCAAATTGTCATTAATCACTTGCCAAATACTTTGTTACAATTTTCACTAACTCTCTCTCGGCTTTGTGGAAAGTCATCTGGATTGTTAGGCTGGAGTCCCAGCACTTGCTTGGAGAACTTCAGCTTGGGGCTATCACAGCAATCAATATTGCATGTGTCAATGTCAGCTAAGGATATTTTTGTTTCTAGAGTGCTCCTCGAAGACTTTGCTCTCCCTAGATGTCCTTTGCATATTTCCTACTTATTTTTGATTTGCCTTTTTTTTTATAATTCATTCTTTTGTTGCTACTACTGTTTATCTAGAATTAGTGTGTCATTTTTCTCTAATTACAAACTTCTCTCAATTTGACATTTTCTCTCCCGAGAGAGCTCCTAAAAACAAACATTTTTGAAAGTACGCACACGCATAAACACAGACACACAGACACACACGCACACACACACACACACCACCTTATCTAAAATGCTTGTGTGAGCCATGTATTGTGGCTCACACCTGTGATTGGAAGGCTGAGGCAGAAGGATTACCACCATAAGTTCAAGGCCAGTCTAGGCTACATAGTGAGGTCCAGGCTAGCCTGGAGAACAAAGTGAGACTGTGCCTCAAACAAACAAAATATATATTTATGTGTTTTAGGATATATATGATGAGATTTAGGCATGACTTGAGAGTCAATATATAACCATAATCATTCAATTCTAATTCTATTTTATAATATGTCTGAAACCTTCACATGAGAAGACTGGAGAAGATTCACATTAAAGGGAAAAAAACCTCACCATTTTGTGGAAAGTACTGTGTACTGTCTGCTCTAGGAACGTGTGTGTTTCTATGTACACATACACAAAGAATAAAATATATTTAATACCGAAGATGGAAAAAATGAGCGATTCCATTCTCTAGCTCCTTACAATCTAACAAGAGAAAATGCCACATACCATAAAACAGCAGTGTTAACATGAGCAAGGGATGTTGGGAACATTTCACTTTGTCTGAGGACTCTAGAGTTGATTTTGTTAGGGCTTACAGGATCACTGCAGTTTCACCACACAAAGGTTGAAAGATGAGCAAAAGACGTGGGCAGAAAAATACACATACTAATTAGGTAAACTGGGAGAAAGACCTTCTGGCACGTGGCCAAAGATGAGGAGTACAAGGCTGGGACCTTGAAGGCCTTGTTAAGATTTTATTTTATTCCCAAAGCAACTGGACACTGTGAAAAGATTTTAGGAGGAAGAATGAGATAATGATTTTAAACTGCAGTTCAAGCTATTGTAAGAGGATGAACTGTAAGGATGAAGAGCCAAGCAAAAAAATCAATTAGGAAGCTACTGGGTGTTGATGTTTGTGATTATAAAGGCCTGCTCCAAGATTATTATAGTGGGAGGGGGAATGGGGCGCTTATAGCAGACATTGTGGAAATGCTGTATTGTAGTCATCAACTGACTGTAAGGAAGGGGGGGAGAAGAGGCAAAGATGCTCTGAGACTTGGTGACTGGATATATGGAAATGCCATTAGCTAACACTGAGAAAACCCTCTTGGCAAGGAGAAGTACTTAGGGAACATTCAAACAGAGTGGGAGGCACTCAAGCAGAGATTTACAGGAGGAAGTGAGAGCTCAAGAGAGAGGCCAGACCTAGAATCACAGTGTTAGGACTCAGAGCCATAAAAGATAACGTCAGCATCAGGCGCAAGCACATAGAATGAAAGAAAAAGCCTAAACAAACCCCTGAGGAACATCAAAGGGAAAGAAGAAGAGACAGAATAGAGGGACAGCCCAGAGAAAAGGAAAGCTGCAAAAGCTGGGGGGCAGGAAACGTGGCAGCGTGTCCCCCAAAGGGGCTGCTGTTAACTATAGAACTCTAGGAATTTGTGGAGAGCAATTTCCAGAGAGTGAAGAAAGCAAACTGGACCCCCGGGGTGGGGGGGGGGCAATGGGGAGGAGCAGGAGATGCCCGGCTCCACAGTGAGGGAGGGAGGGATGGCCAAGGGGCAGCACATCGGGGGCTGCTGCATTTGACTCTAAAAGTAGAAGATGACAGAGGAGTGCACCAGAAATGTTCACGTCCTTGCTTATCCAAAGAGGTTCACCAGGTGATTTCAGCTCCTAAGGTCCTGCCTCATTGCAGCTTGTTCAATCCCTCTCATATATAAATAGTTACTTAAGATGCTTACCCCCTGTGATGGGCAATTCACATTTCCTGACCATGGCCTTTGGAACCAATGGGGGATATTACAAAAGAACACAGTCTCATAGAGAAATGGGATGTTAGAACTGACCGATGTAAGTGTGAATGAACATCCACTTTGGGGTTGTCAGAGGAGAAGATCATTGAACAGGTTGGCCACAAACTCCAGATCTAAGGGCTGAAGGGAAGCCAACAAGAAAGTTGGGAGAAGGCATCAGGGAGAAGAAGGGTAGAGAAGGCACTGAGGGAAGAGGGAAGGAGGAAGCAGGTAGTGAGAGAGACATCTAGTATGACACGCCGAGGGAAGAGGGAAGGAGGAAGCAGGTAGTGAGACATCCAGTATGAGGGAAGAGGGTGTTTTCAGGAGGAAGTGTCAGATGATGAATAGGAGGAAGTGAATGGAAGTGTCTCCACTGGCAGTGAGAAAGTCACTGGAACCTAGCAGAAGCATTTTCAGTGAGATAATGAGGCAGTCAGACCTGAGGAGTGAGCAGAAGGCAATGCCCTAAGGTACGCTTTCTTCTCACTTGTAGTGAAGTATTTATCTGCTGTATACCATGAACTATTGCATATGATGTGCCTGAGTGTGCACGTGTGTATGTGTGTGTCTGTGTGTGTGTGTGTGTATACACACACTCACATAGTATCTTTACACAGCAATGGTCTCAGGGATAAAATATAAGGACATTCACTCCAAAAGGACATTTCAGTTAAAGATGGTTGCCAAACACCCATGGCCTACTGTGTCATAGCTACCTTATATTTGTGTAAGCACACTAGGATGTTCTCACGAGAACAAAATTACCTAACAATGAATTTCTCACAACATATCCCTGTCATTAGGCAACGCATGACCGTGTTTAATATATATTACATCTCACATTAAGAACATCACAAAAATGTATGTACACTGTACATAAATTATATCTGTCAAAATTTAAAACTTTTTAAAGTACATAAATGAGGATCAAATTATTTATTGATTGATTCCTTTTTAAGAATAAAAAGGGTGAACTTGGAAACTGACTTGACATGCCAAGGAGGGCTGTTAGATGTACCAGGGTTACCAAAAAGGAGGGGGGAGAATGTTTTAGGGAAGGATTGTCTCTTACCGTGCTTCTAGCCCTTTTACTGAGTCTTATTCTCTCCCCTCCCTGCCCCTCCAGTGGAATGGAGTATATCTAAAGACTTCTGTCCTTTGGCTGGGGAGATCATCATGAACAATCTGCAGAACCTGAGGTGCACAATCACAGGCCTCACCAGGGTAAGTCCTCCTGGTGGATATGCCATTCTCTGCTGCTGAAATCTGTGCAGGGATGCTGGTGGCCAACACCTACTCTGGAAGCAGCAGCCAACACCCGGCCTCTGGCAGCAACTGCCACTCATTAAGCGTGATAATGTCTGGTATCCATAATCTGAATCTCACAAAGGGGTTAGCAGACAGCATGAAGCACTTTGTAAGACGCCATGTTTTAAGGAGATCAGAAGGAGACGGGCCTCATGTGAGCTCTGAGAACTGCTGCTTTCTGGATCACAGTCTAATCTTCAGGGGGATCAAAGGCTCTGAGAGATCCAATTTTGACTCCCTGTCTGATGGCAAAAATAACAGCCTCATCTAGCCCTCACCCCCACAGCCCCATTGAGATCAGTCATCAATTGGAGTCACACAATTTCCGGAGAGAAATCCTTTTCCCCTGATTAAATAGAAAAAAAATAAAACTGTCAAAATCTGCTTCTACAAAAAAAAAAAAAAAAAAAAAAAAGACACTATATATGGCAAAGCTGTAATTTCTAAGTAACTTTAACTGTGGATGAAAAACTGGAACAAGCTCTGTTTGTTTAACCAGTCTAAGCTCAAACATTAGTCACTTATGGAATTCTGAACCACATATGAGGATATAAAATGCAAAAAATAAAACATCTAGGAAATCAGTTCAAACGGAAAGAAATGGCATTTCTTCAAACAATTAAAATACAAAAGATTTTTAAAATCATTTTTAATCAAAATTTTTTAAAGGTGACCTCAAACCTGAAAATTTGAAATCTAATTCAAATAAGTAATACCTTAAGTCTTTCATTTCAGAGGAATAGGATACTTCTGTTGTTTTCTTAATGGTTAGCTAATTAAAATGTTTATTGGTAATATATAATCCCAAAACCCAGAATTAAAAAGCCCCATTTTGTTGCATCCAGCATATTCTAAGAGAATCTTGGTGGTTTGATCACCACCAAGAATCCTGACTTTTAGTCCTAATCGCACATCTACACCAGGGGCCAGATCTGTGGATTACCAGAGCAAACAAACCCCTGAGTGGGTGGCCCCCAGAGATGTTATCAGCAAAAGACAGGCTCCAACACCATGGTTCACATGGTGGAAGAGGGCCAGGAGGAACCCCAGGGAGTTTCCACTACTTAAAAGAAAAAAAGTGATATGGTGATAAAAATGGAAAACTCGCCATAGAGGCTTTCGCTAATATCTAAACTAGTTTCTATAGGGATTAGGTTTTTCCACTTGGCCATCCAATGAGGGCAATGCAGACATTATCCTAACCATGTAAAAAGTTGATTTATACATCTACATAATCCCTATAACCCTGAGGTGCATAGAAACCCATTTTCTATGCTAGAAAAAAAGTTTAACTTTGTAACATGTTAAGGCAGTATTATTAAATCCTCAGCAAAACTCCACAAAGATGTACTACTTTTTAAGTTCAAACACCATTTTACAATTTTTGCAAGCAATGTTTTATCCAACACTGGCTTCTCAAGGCCTCCTTTCAATTCTCAGGGGGGAAAAAAAGAAGAAAAGAAACCTCAAAGCAAAAAATAAAACCATACAAAACATTTTGAAGGATTATCAATAAGCAAAAACAACTCCTTAATTCTTAACGCCATAGAAAGGTGTTAAAGAATATGAGCCATTGTTTTTTTAATAATGCTTTAAAGCTGATGTTGCATCAAAGAATTGATTTTTTTAGTGATTGAACAGGATATTTATTGCACATTGTTTATTGTGAAACAATCCCAGTATCCACCAGTGGAAGACTGATTAAATAAATGAAGCCATGGGCTCACAGTGAAGTACTATGCAACCACTCAAAGAATGAGGTCAGCCTTTCATGCACTAATCTGAAAAGATATTTATTAAAGCTTGTTAATTTTCTAAAGTTGACCAGCTAAAGGAGCCTGATGGCTATTGCCTCTGGGGAGAGAAAAATAAGTAGAAAGAGGTGGTAGCAGTGGGGGATTGTGTTTTTAACAAACCTTGTAAAACTGTGGGCTTTAAAAATTGATAGAGGCTGGAGAGATGGCTCAGTAGCTAAGAGCACTGACTGCTCTTCCAAAGGACCCAGGTTCAGTTCCCAGCATCCACCTGGGGGCTCTCAACCATCCATAACTCCAGTTCCAGGAGACCTGATGCTCTCTTCTGGCCTCCACGGGCACTGCACACACGGATACACTTATATACATGCCAGTAAAAACACTCATACACATAAAAAATTAATTAAGTTAAATAAATTACTTAATTAAATTGGTATATAATTTAAGGGCATGAGGAGTCAGAAAGCATAATTATGGCATTTCAATGCTGAAATCAAAAATATATAGAGAAATTAAGCGGGTTTTCAAATATGAAAATGATAAATTACAATGCCTGATGTATTATCCTATTTCAATTCTTTGCAGGGCCAACAATATTTTGTTCAAGTCTCAGCCTACAACATGAAAGGATGGGGACCAGCTCAGACCACGACACCAGCGTGTGCCTCTCCCTCTAGTAGGTGATAGCTACTTCTAGAATGGCAACAGGCTCAACTATTCCATCTCTAAGATGTCCCTGCCAATCCCTTCTCCTACCTCTGGGCAGCAGCTGGACTACAGAACAATGATTCTTATGTAGAAATGTTTCCAGGAAGGCAGCTCTTCCCAGGAGTGGGGAGAGAATTTGGAATCACAAAGACTGAGTTTGATAGTTATGCTAGCTTTCATTAGTTGCTACCTTCAAATGTTACTGAAACTCTCAGAGCCTCAGTTCAACATCTGTAGAATAGGTCTAATCACATTTTTTCCACAGGGCTTTGTGGGGATGGAAAGAACACCAGGAGACTGGCCAGCCCAAAATATGTACAGACCATTTTAGTTCTCATCTTCCCTTCCATCCCCAATGGACATATCACATTGATTTCTTTACAGAATGAAATCAAACATATTTTACTTATCTGACATTCTGTCAAGAGAAAGGCTTTTTATTAACAATCACCCTACAACAAATACAGTATGAAACATTTGTAATGGTGCATGAGGAAACCCAGCAAAGACCTCTTCTAATCATCTGAAGATTAATAATTTCTGCCTGGTGTGTTTGATAACTCTCTGTTAAACAGAAAGTTTTAATAATGAGAACAAACATCTGCAGACAGACCAGAAAGTAGATTTTCTTTCTGAATAGTTCAGTGCTCTGGGTTGCATTTTCATTTTTAAAAAAATCATTAGTATTATAGTTAAAAGTGGTATCATATGCTTTTTATGAGAGTACAAGTGACTTAATCATTTATTGAATACAATTTACTGTATTATATCAAATGCCTTAGGGATATATATTTCCTTTCACCTCATATTACATAGCTGAGAATCTAATTTAAGAAAACAGAGATGCAGATAAGCAATTATGCACAAAATTGTGTCCTGAATCTGTATATTAATAATAGCAAAATATCACGTGTGAGGAAAACAAATATCCCATGTTAGTTCAACAGTGAACGTACATATTCAAATCCATAGTATAGCATGAAACAGTCACTAAAAAGATGTGTTTTAAAAGCATTCATTGTGTATAAGTGTAGAAGAAATTCTTACAATATAGGCTTTATGTAAAAAATAATAATACAAAAATGTAGGGGCTCTAGTATAATATTTCACCGTTAGTTTATAATTAGATATGATGTATCTATGTACCTTGATAATTATCAAAATTAATCAGTGGGAGTGGGAAGATAGCTCAGTCAATAAAGTATATGCCACAGAAGTTTGAGGACCTGAGTTTGATCCCCAAACCCATGTGAAAAATACAGATGTGGTAGCACCCACTGGTAATCCTAGTGCTGGGGAGAAGGGCTAGCAGAAACAGAAGAATCCTTGGACAGTCCAGCCAATTCCACATTCAGGGACAGACACTTCTCAAAAATCAAGATGGACAGCAAATGTAGAAGGCACTCAAGTTTGATCTCTGGCCTACACCCCCCCACACACACACACACGCATCATGCATGCATATGCACATACACACACAAACTGGGCATTTGGGTTATGAGATAATGGGGGTTTTCAGTTTTCTGGTATACATGTTTATATTTTTCAAATCTCATAACATTTTACCTAAAACCAAGGATGAATCAGGTGATAAATTGTGGGCTTTACTTTCAATATCTCTCCAAATCTTCATAGTAGTCCTTCATCCTCCCTCCTGCCTTATAAACAGGCATTGTCATTATCATTTATATTACTGTTAACCTAGAGATAACCTGTAGAAAACTTATTCCATTCATCACATTAATCTAAGCACTTTACATGGATTGCTTCCATTGACTGATGAAGAAACCATTAACATAGAGGCACATTCACATAGTACAACCTTTGAACTGAGATTCAGAGATGTAGGCTCTAAGGTCAAATCACTGGTACATGCCTGAGTCATGATTCAAACCTGGACTGATCATGTCTCCTGTGGTAACTAGAGACCCAGTATCAGGCATATCAGACAGACAAGCAGCCTAAGGGCCAACCAACCATGCCTACCACCTCCAGTAGAATCAGATGGTTATAAGGAGTCATCCAAGACCTTGGACCACCAATGCTAGAGCTCTCCAAGGCCTCTGACTCCTTCTCCATTTAATGATTTAATCAGTTTATTCTGACATTTTTATTACTAAAGATTTATCAGAAACACTCACTGAGAATAAAGATTAAGACACTAAGGAACCAATCCTATTGGCAAGGATAGGAGTGTGTGGATTATTAGAGATAGAACAATAGAAAATACAGAAAAGCATGTCACACACACACACACACACACACACACACACACACACACACACTCTTGATTGACCTGGAAGCACAGTAGGAAGAAACCTATTCCAAAGGCATACCCACACAAATTCTGATCTGCATTTACTTACAAAGCTCAGATATCGGGTTCTACGAGTTGTAAGTTCTATTCAGATGCTCTCCCTCATTTGCGGAGCTCTCTCCAGAATGACAAGAACAGTTGTCCCAGGCAAAGAGGAGTCACTTATTTATTGGAAATTAACATAGTGGCTATCACGGCTTTCTCAAACAGCATGTCTGATTTGCAAGGGTAACTGGTAAAGCGCTGAAACACTAGCCTATGGTTATTGTTGCTTCAGACTGTGCCGTATCTCTTGGAAAGAACAATATAAAAACACTCCTGTTCTATTTATAAGCAGAGTATGACATTGGGATGTAACGAGTATCAGTATTCAGATATTTACTAGACGACAATGTACTCTAACATGACAGAGTAATTGGAAATTTGGTAATATGTTCCAGTAAGCTATAAAAGTTTTTTATATTTTTACAAAAGGCCTTAATGTGTTTTTATAGACTTATGTTATATGGTATGGTACATAATAAGAGAAAAGCGCCCAGACAGGCTTGTCTGAGTTACGATCAGGAAAACCTTGATATGGCCAGTGAATGTAAGCTCTGCATTGTGTTGCAATTGAAGTGTCTCATTACCAGAACAGTGAGCTGTATTATGTGGCACAATCTGCTCTTTTCCTACCATGCTGAGTTTATTCCTGTCAGGTTCCTGATTTCTTAATATATTTTCAACTCTCTCCCTCATCCCTGAAGTCTCTTATTTTATGTAGTCATCAGAATTTTCCAAACACGTATGAGAAAAACTCATTCTTTCCAAAACGTTGGCATTGTTCAGGGCTCACTTGGACTGCAATTTAGCATTAGCAATTTCTTCTGTATCATAAAGTCATCAGATGGGACTCGCTTCTGATGTAATAGGGCTGAGCTGGAAAGCCTAGACCCACTTCACCGCCTCTTGCATTGTCAGCAACGTTAAGACTCATTAGAATGTATGAGCACATTCAGGCCCATGTGGTAATCCAGCCACCCAAGAGTCTAACCCAAGCACAAACTCTTGCTCATCCTCATCACAACACAGACATTGGAGAGGCACAAATCCAAAGAAACAATAACCCACGTGAGCCTGTGAAGGCAATGTGTATTCTCATTATGTCCAGATGCAAGGGGTGTTAGATAGAAATAGTCCAAGGCCCTAGAGCTACTTTTCCAGGTTTCCCAGTAAAAAGAGCCTTCCCTACCCCAGCCTACCTGAACACTGTCATGCTCCTCTTCAAAATGCCTCACCAACATCATACGAGTGTCTCCCACGTACCTGGATGATACTTTACTCCCATTCTTTCTTTTCAACCTCAACCTCCAAAAGAGATTAAAAACTGACTCTACAGAGAAGAAAAACGAGGCAAAGAGAAGTTCAGTCATGGTTCTTGCCCACAAGGAACAGAGCCTACAAAAGGCACCTATGCCAATTTTCTGTCTCCAGAGTTGACCACAACTAAGCCTCAACAGACAAATTCCAACAAAGCTCTGACTCTCCTGCCCAAAAGAAAAAATAAATGTGTGTAGTGTAGTAAAATGAGAATGAGCACTAACTACATCGAAGGCCGCTGGACCACGCATCACCCTGGCTGGGCCACGCATCACCCTGGCTGGGCCACCAAGCCTGTGAAACGGCTGAATGGGGTGGGGAGTGTCTCTGGGCCTCAGTCTTCCTGAAGGTGAAATGAAGGACTGCACATGGGAGAGAAAAGGAAGAAAGCAGGATTAGTTAAGTCTCTGAGGCCCACTTCTTCTTAGATAATCATCACATAGGGTAACAAGTGATGTTTTCATACTGAATAGCCTTCAAGCCTTGTTTACAGAATGCCTGTCATGTAATAGGCATCGTGCCAGTTACCTAATATACTTCTCATTTCATCTCATAAAACTCTCACAAAACAGACACTATCCTCGTTTTTCAAATTAAGGAGTGGAGGCTCTGTTGACGTAAATGACTTGCCTGCCGTGAGCCGGGAATGGGAAGAGTCAGTGTTCACATCAGGGTTTAGCGTACCCCACAACCTGGCTTTACCTTACTCTACCTTACCTGGCTTGCACCCTCCCGAGGTTAAACGGACCCTATAACTGTGTCCCCCCTAACCTCTGCACCCCTGAGCCTCAGCTGAACCACAACGGGCTATCTTCAGTAAAGCACTTAAGTGTCTAATGAAGGCTGACTACTGTAAAACAACTCTGTCAGGGTGGGAATTTGAAAGGACTGTAACTACTTTAAGTGAACTAACTGGCTTTTCTAAGGTAGCGTGACTAGCCTTTACAGAGACACACTTGAAGTTGTTGCTTTTGAAAAGCTCAGAAAGGAAAACCAGGGGAGAGAAAATAGGAGCAGGGATGGACAATGAAATGACTGACCTCCTGGAAAAAAAACCTAAAACCTAAAGCTGGAGACAGCAGAATTACAATCTTGACATTAGTCCCACATGAGTTATTACTCTTGATATCATTATAACCAAATGGAATGAAAAGAGAAGGGGGAGAGAAATCTCAGAGGGGACTGCAATTTAAATTTGCCATGTAAGCTAATACTGTATATTTAGAGACTGAGCAGACAGGGTGGTTGGTGGCTCAGAGTATGTGCAGGGGTTGCTGTGCCAGCTAACCAAAGCAGACATTCATTAGAGCAAAATGTAGATTTCCATTTCTTGGCATCTGACAAGGGCTCTTTCCTTGGAAAGAAATGTCAATTTGGCCAAAAGTGTGAAACCTACAATAAAAGCATTGGGACTGTGGATTTCATCTAGTCTGCACATTCCCGCCCCTGTCTTTCCTACTGTGGAAATCCAGTTGAGACTTGGGGTGGTGCGTCAAGAGGTGGCAGGGGAACTGATCGGGACAGTGGATGCTAAAAAGGAAAGAAGAGCTAGGAGAGGAGATACTGGACTCCCAAATTAACTATTTTCTTATGGCTCCCAAGTACTATTTTCTCTAGCCCCCCAGATGCCCGACACAAGAAGCCAACCACAATTACTGTTTTTCACAGGGCCCTGCACGATGGCAGCTTCCAAACGTTTGGTGTTGCCTGCCAGGTTTGCGTGTGCTGGGTTCTCATCCGCGGAGCCTGTGGGTAGTGAGTAGAAAACCCCAGCACCTCAGGCGGGGAGGGAAGAGGCTGTCTCTGCTTTAAAATTTCCCTCTGTTTGTTTCTTTTGTTCAATAGACTGGAAAGACTATGACGACAGAGAGCCCAGACACCAGGGACAGAGCGAGGTTCTGGAGAGTCTGCTGCAGCAGGTCCGAGCCCTTCATCAGCGTCACAGCTGCCGGGGTAAGGATAAAATCTGCGCTGGGCCATCGACTGAGGTCTCGGTGGCGCCGGTAATTTTAGCAGTTTCCTAGCGGGGTCATACCTTCTCGTTCATCAGGGAGAGAGAGATATTAATATTTGTACATCTGGAATCACTTTACAGCACTATCTTGCTTTAACCCTTCCACAGAGCCTCCCTCTCCTTTCCTCCCTTCCCTTCCCTTTCTCTGTCCTTCTCTCCACAGGAACAGTTTGAAAATAATCACAAGAAAAGCAGCTGCTGTTATCAATTTTCTTCTCTTGGCATTGGCCTTCCGCAAGACTCCTCCGTGTGTCTTTCGAGACAACCTCTCTCCCTCCACACTTGCCCCCAAGAAAAATTCCCTAAGCATGGCCCAAGGAGCTCAGACAATGATAATGACAATAATAGGCCTTCAAATCTATTGATGATATAGTTTACAATGCAATTTCACATCCACCACATCAATTTCATCCTCATTTTGGTAGTTACAGGAGAGGCTACTTGACTTGCCCAAGCTGTGGCCTGGGCTTTGTGGTCCCATTTCTGTCCCCCTTGCCTCACATCAGGACTGGACACTGAACTTTAATCCCACCCTGAACTTTAGTCTTCCTTCATCCCACTGTTCTGGTGGAAAGTAGAGCTCACCTCCTCCAGACTGTAGCCCCACTTCACCCAGAGAATCTGGAAGGTGCTTTTAAAAGCTTCTCTGTTGCTTGGGCTGTTCAGATGGGACAGGGTCAGGTTTCTGATCTGTGTAATGATTCGTGGAAGAGGCACTTAGTTTTATTTGGAGAATTAAAGCCTCCATAAAGTTTTCATTTTCCATGCTCCCATCAGATCTCCAACTACTCTGTGCTCTCTAGACTCAGGGCACTGCTGAGCCAGCTGGGTAAGAAATCCCTGGCTGAAACTAAGAGAAGCTGTGCTAGCTGTGTTTGGACTAGGTATAAATCATACTTAGCATTAGCAAAAAAGGTTTCCCAATTACTGTATAGCTGTGACAACAGGGCCCTTCAGAAATGTTGGCTCTAGCTGGAGATGAGGACAAGTGTTTGCAAGAAAATGATGTTTTTCTAATGAGTGGTTCATTAGGAGACGTAAATATGCATGAAAACAGCTGGAGAAGGAAAACCAAGTGGGATTTTCATTCCTGGAGCTCTAAGAAGACTTGACCCAAAACAGGACCTGCAACATTCCATACTGACCAAAGTTCATTGAGTTCTGGGTTTGTAGGGCTCACTTAACCAAGCAGGCTGTCACCTGGGCAGCTTTCTCTTCTGCCTCTCCATTGCCTCCTGCCCACTGGCTCCTGTACGGAAGCAAAGGGAATATAGGAATTGGACAGACGGCACTCAGAAATCCATAGCCACTTTGCGGTTGGTCTTTGTCCGAGGAGGGAAGCTGAAACTGCCAGGGAAGACTGTACTTTGGGTTGTTTATTAGTAAGGACTCTGATGTTTTCCCTATTGCTCTCTAATAACAAAGAATTTATTTCCTGGACAATCCAATTATTTCTATAGCTTCCATGCAACTCTGTTGTGCACATGCTTTTATCCCATAGGAATATAAATGTACACATATTATTAGGTCTAATTTAACTAAAGCACAAAGTAGACCTTCCCACAAAAGGACTTTCTTTAATATAGTAATACGTATCCTGGACACTGAAACAACACCCAAAATGTGTTCCAAAGAAGTAGAGGTTCTGAAAGGTGCTCAGTGAAAACGGGTCTCTGGTCAGGTAAACTTGGGAAATCCTAACCTCTTCATTCCTCTCTTGGAAATGTAAAGACTATGATACAGAGACCTAGAAAATTTAAACAAGCATTTTCCAAATTCTTCAGTCATATAAAACCTTTTCCAGAGAATTAGTATTCTATGGTGTAAACTTTAGGAAATGTTGAGATAAATGTCAAGATAAAATAAATTACCTCACTCAAAAAAAAAAAAAAAAAAGAAAAGAAATGATTCTAAGATGATTTAACATAGCTCTGGGTTTGAAAGGAAAGACAGAGGATAGTGTAAAGATTGATTACAGAGAACTATGAAATTGTTATTTAAAATATTTTACTACATTGAGATACTGTGGTTTATTGGAAAGTGTTTGTTTGTTTGTTTGTTTTTTGAGGCAGGGTCTCCCTGTAGCCTCAGCTGGCCTGGAACCCACTATGTAGACCCATTGCTCTCAACCTCACAGAAATCCACCTTCCTCTGCCTCCTGAGTGCTAGGATTAAAGACATGCACCACCAAGCCTGGTTGACATAAACCTTTAAACGCTTTACAATTAAAACTTAATAAACTTTGGAATTAGAAAAAAATTATTATCTGGGGGCTAGAGAGATGGCTCAGCAGTTAAGACACTGGTTGTTCTTGCAGAAGATCAGGGTTCGAATCCCAGCACCCACATGCCAGCTAACAACTGTCCATAACTCCAGTCCCAGGGGATCCGACAGCCTCTTCTGACCTCCACGGACATTGCAGGACACAAGTGCGCTTACCTATATGCAGGCAATACAGGCATACACATAAAAAATAAAGATAATAAATAAAATTTTAAAAATTATCCTAAATCTGCGTTCTACCACTTCCTAACTTTGATCACAGCTTCTTCATTAGAAAAATTAGGATATCTTACTTGCAGGGTTATTGCCAGGATTGAATAGGCAATGGATCGAGTGCACCCAGCACAAACTCAAGCTTATTTTTCAACCACTGTTCTTACAAGTGAAGAATGGAGCCACTCTTCAGCCACGGTGCTTGACTTAACCTGGAGCATGAGCTGAGTCCTCAATGAATACACAGCATTATTCCAAGTGCAGAAACAATAAGAAAATATCTCTGTTCCTACCAAAATCCTACACAGGCAGTATCAAAACCCTCCATCAATTCCTGCATTTTAGTTAAACTGCTGGCTATGACTTATCTGCATATTCAGTACTGGGATGCAAATTCAAGGAAGATGTAGGTGACGCATTATTGTTCACGCAGCTCAACACACATGACTATAAAGAAGATAACTGTCTTCATCACAGCAGTATCCTATAGGAGTGGATTTCAATTATCATCCAACAATTCAACTTGCCAAACACAAACTAAAAACCTGCCCACTATATGTGGCATAAAACAAACTCCCCATGCTCGAAACACTTATAAGCTAGAGAACTACAGTGCTCAATAAGAACCTGTGCTCCAGAGCTCTGAGCCAAGCAGAGTACAGTGTAAAATCCACAGGAGAGCTTAGGAGAAAAGTGAGTTTAGACACTCTGTTAATCAAGATGAATATATTATGCTCCAATATCCAAATAATCTGCTCCAACATGAATTTTCCCACATGCTATGCATCTAGCACTAGTCTGCTGGGGAAGTTCTGTGTTATCCTCTCTATTTGTCATTAGCTCTCACCAAGGGAAAGCAGCTTAAAGAGCTCATACTTGCAAAAGTTGGTACCGGTCACTGATGCTCAAAACTGACTGGCCAGAACTGGTCACACGCCCGATCCGAGCCAAGCCTAAGGGCTCCCTTCTGTTAGCACTGCTCTCTTTAAGAAGAGACATGGTTACATTCAAAGATTTGTATAGGTTGGAGAATTTGGAAAGGGAGTGAATGGCCAACTCACATTACAGGAACAATGACAAATTTCACATTATTGTTGAAGCTCGGTTGTAGTTTTGTCCGGAAACAATATTTAAAATTATAGTAGACATATAGAAATTCGAATTTATATTCTAATACATAAGTATATATTTTACTTTGAGAACTCTAACCATGTGTCCAAGACAGAAGAGAGCTGGACTATTCAGTCCCTTCTATAGTTGGTTTCCTTTCCCAACTGGTAGAAGTGCCTCTTAGCTTTCTTTTTATATTCTTAAATGAATTTTTAAATCTTTGTTTTTATCTGTCATATATAACTAAGTTTTATGTGGCTATACCATATCTCTGAGGCTAGATTACCTGAGCTCAGATTCAGGCAGGTGTTCACCAGTTGTGTCAACCTGTGGCACTTGCAAAACCCCTCTGTGCTTCACTTCATTCATCTGTAAAGGGTCGAATTGTAGACTGTAATCATGTCTGCCTCATCTACCCATTACTTAAGGATTACATAACTTAAGTACTTTAAACAATTATTAATAAAAAGGAGAAAAAGGAAGTAATTTTCATAACCTACAATTTTGCTTCCAAAGGCAAACTCTTAATTTCTTTTAGCTTTCCAAGTATTGTCTTGGTATCTCTACATAACATATTTCTAACATTTCTAATTCTTGATTTCATTTTCAATTTTAGGCATTCTCTCAAAAAATGATTATTTAACCCTCTTTTACTACACCCCTTTATGTGCACGCATAGTTCCTCCCTTTTTATCATGCTAATAACTGAATTTTAGTAGGATCAATGTTTAGCCTTTATATTGTAATGGAGGAAATCTAAATCTTTTGATGGTTGTCCTTTCCTGGAAAGCTCTCTTTGTTTTTCTTGTAGTTGATTATTGCAGTTGATGGCATTCACATATTTTTCTATATGATTACAGTAATAGATCCCCAAACTATCCTCCAGTGACAGCCCCCTTTACTCAACACACACTAGACACTGTATCAATTGCATCTTCTTGAGTAATCCTCTCCCAGTCTCCACCCTGTGCCCATCTAGCAGGTGACCGGTTGCCTCCATGCCCCCTGTGCAGCTGTCACTCTGGGACTGCCTTTCATCACCACATTGAGGACTCTGTTTATCACTCCAAATATTGGATTTCATGTTTTGTGCTGCACGCCTCCCACTTTCTTGGCTTAGTCCATCCTCTGGAGGAGCCTTTCCTCTGAGAGGAAAGTAATTTCCTGAGAGGGTGCTTAGGAGCAAATCTTTGGCGACATTCTATGTATAAGGGGTACCAATCCTACTTCACTCTCACTGAGGGTGTGGACAAGCATAAAATGCTCAGCTGAAATCATTTTCCTTCAAATTTGGGAGGTACCACTTTATGCCTTCCAGCTTTCAGGGCTGAGAAGTCATGTAACATTCTGATTCCAAGGCTGTTTCTATCTTTTCTCTCTCTTCTCCCCCTCCTAAGTTTTCAGTTTTCTTTTGACTTCAGTGTTCTAAAATTTCATTCTGATGTGTCTTAGACTCTGTTGTCTGTTGTTGGACACTCAGCAAGTCCATTTGGTACAGAAGTTGATACCCTTCAAGTGTGGGATATTGTCTTAAGTTAATTTTTTTCTGGTCCTCCTTTTCCTCTTTCTTCCTACTCAAGTGCTCATTATTTAGATATGGACTAGCCTGACTAGTCCTATGATTTTCTTTCCTCCCCACTTGTTGTTGGGTTTTGTTTGCTTGCTTTTAAAGCAGGGTCTCTGTATATAGCCCTGGCTGACTTGGAACTCACTCTTTAGATCAGGATGACCTTAAATTTACAGTGATTCTCCAGCCTCTGCCTCTGGAGTGCTAGGATTGTGGTTACATGTCACTATGCATAGGCCAAGTTTTTTAATTTTTCTTTACCCCCCCAACTTTCTATCCTTATATCCTTTTGCTCCCCTTTCTCAGAAGCTTCATCACTTTTATCTTCTAAGCCTCCTATTGGATGTTTAAGTTTTTGATAATATATCTTTATTTCTCAGTGCTTTTGTTCTATAATTAGTTTGTGGTTTTTAAAAATAATCCATGTCCTTCTTAAAGGATGAGTGTCTTGTCTCTCAGAGCACTAACGAGAGGCTCTATTTTTATTTCATTTTGCATTTTCTCAATATAGTCTCCCTTCAGAGTTGCTCTTTTATTTGGTTTTGGTCTTTGAATTTCACAGTACATATATTCTTTAACTGCCTGATGATCCTTCGATGTTTGCAAAGATTAAGGAGAAGAGGAATCAGTAGCCACTTGGGAACTCAGAGCACGTGGACAAGGCACTTTATTTACAGGCTTAACTGTTGAGTTAACTGGCATAGTCTATGCAATGGGAAATAACCAATGTCAGAATCTGTGGGTGTAGTGTATTCTTGGGCTGGTCAAAGTCTCCAGAGAAATTTCTTCCCATGTCCTGCCTGGAAAGAATAACTTTAGATATGTGTGTTCTGAGACCACAATGTGGAAATATGTATGCAAACTTTAATGCAATCAGCCAGTTGTGTATATAGTACCATCCCTTTGATCACCCTATCTCCTTCTGTCCTTAAGGTCTTGGTAAGCCCTACTCCAGAGGCCTGCTTTTTGGCTTGAGAGGTTGGTTTGGTTTTGTGGTTCATTGATTTTGTTTGTTTGTTTGTCTTGGAGATTAAGCCACTAACTTTCATCTAGTAGGAAAGAGTCTTCGGTTAGCTATGCAGTAGGGAAGGAGATCTAGAAGTCTGTTTCAAACAGATGTTGAGAATTTCTGATTTTGGCTGCATGTGCCTCACCCACCCCTGCTTCTAGTAGCCTCAGAGCCTCGGAGGTGAATCAGGTTACTTCTCAGCGATCTCCGCTGGGGACTTAGGCATTATCTTTCTCAAGTTGCTAAATCCACCTGCCTACCTGCTTCTGGCTACCAAAACTTGCTTGCTGCTACCTTCTTTCCCATCTATTTGACTTTATAGAATTAACTTATTTCTTTCATCTCTGTTCTGGTTTTAGTAGGTTTAGAAAGAGTGAGGTGCAATGAAAATGTTGACCTTCAGCATTCATTGAACAGGAAGTCCAGCTGCTTCGTTTTCCAACAGCCAAGCTCATGTTCAAATCAGAAAAAAAGAAATGATTTTACTTTTTTCTTTCAATAACAACCATTACTAGTACGAGTCAGAAACTGATCTGTGATCAGACTGATATTTCTGTCTGTGGCTCCTGCAGGATCACAGTCAGAGCCACTGGGTAGGCCTCAACTGGGGCCATCTACCCAGGCTTCTATGTGTGACAGCAGTCATATGACTCCTGTGTTCATCCCCAGGGACATGTCTGTCCAAAGTTGAGTGATGATAGCAAAAACCTCAGCTTCCCTTTGTTGTATAGAACAAAACAGCTGAAATCAGTGATCATCCACTCCAGCTCCATGGAACATTGCTTGAAAACATTGCTTCCAGGAAGTCTGGGAATTCCACTACGGTTATTAATGAAAGCTCCAGGTTATAAACAGAAGAGGTGGCAGAGACAATGGATGATATGCTCACACAGGCACCCACACACACGCTCACACACAGTAGTTTCCCTCAAAATTATTTATTCAGTCTTTTCAGGGGCTGGCTTTGCTCATTTGGGCAAGCCAATTTACTTCTCGGTTAGTTTCTTCTGAACATTGAGGGTGATAGCTATACCTAGCCCCACAGATACTTTTTTAAATATATTTTACTCATTATTTTTATTTTGTGTGTATGTGTATTGCCTGCGTGTACGTGAGTGCACTTGTGTCATGCAATACCACGGAGGTCGGATTCCCCTGGAACTGGAGTTAAGGACAGTTTGTAGCGCCATGTGGATGCTGGGAATCAAACCCAGGTCTTCTGCAAGAGCAGTCAGTGCTCTTAACCTCTGAGCCATCTCTCCAGCCCCTAAAGATACTTTTATACACAAGCATACACAATAGAAAAAACTGCCCTAGAATGGGAACCATGGTCATATGGAAGTTTCTGGATGATTTAGGTGGGTTGCTTCTTATTCCTCCCTTTTTTTTCTACTCTCCAAATTTTCTGTAATGTGCTTATAGCAATTCTACAATGAAAAGATTTGATTGGATGTATAGACTAACAAAGAGCTTTTGAAGCTTTAAGAAATGCATGAACATTAAAAGGCAGTTTGTGAAGGGAGAAGAGAAAAAAGTTGACTCTATTTCTGTTTATCTCACTTGATAATCTCTTATCTAGAGAGTATAAACAAAAGATCTAAGTGATTTCCCTTGCAGTTATAAATATCACCCACCTCAGAGGTCTGGAGAGATGGCTCAGTGGTTAAGAGCACTGGCTGCTCTTACAGAGGACCAGGGTTTGATTCCCAGCACCCACATGGCAGCTAACAACCATCTGTACCTCCAGTTCTAGGGGATCTGATGCCCTCTTCTGACCTCCTCTGGCATTGCATGACACAGGTATACTTACTTGCAGGCAATACATTCATACATATAAAATGAAAAATAATAAAAAAAAATTACCCACCTTCAACATTTTGAAGAGCTATTTAATAATCGAATTAACCACTGGCATATTACATTTACACAGCTATGACAAAATACCAGATAAAAACAACTTCAAGGAGGAAGGATTTGTTTTAGCTCATGGTTTCACACCATTGATAGGAAAGGCATGGTGAAGTATTCATATTGTGGTGGTGGGAACACATGGGAGCAACTGTTCTACATCCCTTGGTGGACAGGAAGCTCAGACATCAAGAAGAATAATACAACCCAAGGTTCTGGCCCCAGAAACCTACCTCCTCCAGCCAGGCCCCACCTCCCAAAGCTTTCAGAATTCCCCCAACCTGCTCTATCAGTTGGGAATCAAGCATTCAAAATATCAGCCTGTGGGGGGCATTCCAGATTCAGGCCATAGCAACTAGTATCTCAAGATACACAAGTTTCTTGAAGGAACAAATGAACTGGACCCTTATATAAAACTGATAAGCGACATGAGGGGACAAGAGGAAGCAGAAAGGTAGGAAGAAAAGACAGGAGTGCTGATCGGTCAAATGGAATTTGCACTGCATTTTTTTCTATGTTGCAGAAAGTTCAAAATTACAAAGCACAGGCCGCAAGCAGTCAGTGTCGAGGAGCCTGAAGCATCTATTCCATTCCTCAAACAAGTTTGTGAAGACCTTAAAACGGTAAGCGCTATGTAATTTTTCTAGGAAGTCAACTTCTCTAGAATAAGCTAATTTGGGTTCTGAGTGGATGCTGAGTAGAAATTTATTTTTTATTATTATTGAAGGAATGGATTCCCCTGACAAGATACCAGGGGCAAGATACCAACCTCTCTGAATTATAGCCAATGAATTTGTGATGAATAGATGCAATATGTCTTTATAGATACATTTTAAACCTATCTTCTATCCTGTCTAAACCTATATAGATTTTTTCCTAAGACTCAAGTTTGGTAGAGAAGATAATTAAAGAAAGTATTTTTTCTTCCTTTTTTTCTTTGCAGGGGACTCTACATAGCTGTTATATTTTATTATAAAGATAACATGTTAGTCACCAATGAAGACCAAATACCAATTGTTGAAATAGACGACTCTCACACCAGTTCTATTGCACAAGATTTTCTGTGGTTCACAAAGGTACACCAAGTTCTGATTTCATTTTGCACCAGGGTCACTGCACATAAATCTCTGAAACTCTAGTTGAGGGGTCTCTCATGATCAAAGTTTGGAGTGGGGGTAAATTATCTCAAAGATCCCTTGCAGCCCTAGTATGCCCTGTGTCATTTTTTAAAGGCCAAAGTAGTGTTTCCACTGCATTTTCAAAGCAAAGAAGCTTGCATCCTGTCAGATTGTGTCTCTACTATTCTGAGTTATGGGATCATTTGGCAAAGACTAAAATGTAGATCTGACTGTTTCATTAGCATTCAGATCCTTTTCCAATTGGACAGAGATCAAAAAGTTGTTTCGTGTGCATCTGAAAATGGACTGGAGAACAAATATCAGGGGGTCAGGTTTCCTTCTCCCTGCTTTGCTTTGATGCCATAACCTAAATCATGTACTGGCTTGGACGATGATATGACCTCGTGACTTCTTTTGCAGCTGTCTTGTATGTGGGAAGACATAAGGTGGCTGAGGCAAAGTGTACCTATCTCCATGTCCTCCTCCACAGTGCTACAAACTCGGCAGAAAATGCTTGCTGCAACAGCCCAGCTACAGGTGAGGGACCAGGCTTGAACCCAGACCCTCAAGGAAAGTGTCTTAAAACTTGAGGAGTTTGGTTCCCAGGAAAAGGGTAGGCTCATTCCTCTCAGATCTGTAGCCACAGGAAGGCCTCTTGGACAATTTGAGTTGTACACTTACTCATGTGAGCCTTTGGTATGATGCCTGAAACGGGGTGTGAGACGATACCGTTCTAGATTTGATACTACTCAGTCAATTCAGTTTCTTTCAAGGTCATTTTCACTACTTGTAAAGCAAGAGAAATTTGACCAGGTCACTAAAGGACCCTTGCCATTCTGGTGGGGTATATGGAAAGAGAGACAGAGACCAAGAGGTGTTGGGAGCAGTTTTCTAATGTGCTTCCGATACAGCATGGACATAGCAATGAATCTGGGGTCCTTATGTAATAACTGAACTTCTGTCAGTGATGCACTTGCAAAGCTGTCAGTTACATCAGCCCTTGACATTTGTATAACAAAAAAAGTAAGCTGTTTCTGGCCAGCAGGGCCATACCATCTATGATCTTTTAAACTTTCATTAAAAAATTCTATAGCTCCACCTTTACCTAAAATTATGAGAATTTCTCTTTTTGAACTCCTGCAGTACTAACAACTAAACCCAGTGAGCTCATAAAAAATTACTGTGTTGCTATGAAAAGTTACTTTTGCCCCTCACTGCATGGTTACCTGCCTTATGTCTTTCATGGCCTCAGAGATTTTAGCAGACAGTGTACTTAACTGTTGATGGCAGAGTCTCCACCTATAACTCAAAAAGTTCTTAGAGCTGGCCAAGGTGTCAGTAGTGAATTCAGAGCATTTCCTTTCATTGCTGACCCACCCACTGGATTGGACCATACCACTGTCCTTCAAACTGCTTTTTCATTAAAATAAATTTTGTTTCCAAGAAGCTTGGCTCCTCACATTAGCCAACTATACATCTGGGACATGGGTGATCACAGACTGACCCACCATAGAAGTTCAAGCAGTACTCTGTTGTGTGTTTATTGGAGGCTTCCTGAGAAGGATCAGACTGTGACTAGCCAGTACAGTCAGTCAGATGCTAAGGGATGCCTCTGTGGCCGGTGTGACCCTGCACAACTGTCACTCAGTACGTTTGCATGTCCTCCCCCTTCAATCTCTGATCCCACCACCTTTCATAAGATATCGCTCCCTTCTGAACCCACTTCCCTCCTTATTAAGATGAGATCCCCTGATGCATCATAATCATTCTCTTGAAAATAGTCCAGATTTTCTCTCAGAAAAAAACCACAAGCCTAGATCAATTCAACAAGTCTATACTAGTTTCACCCTGCTTACTGAAAGAAAAAAAAAAATCTTTCACACACATACACACAAGGCTAAATGTTTTTGTATGACCACAGTTCTCACATGGGATGTTACCTAGTGGTCCATTTCATTTCTCTATTACTTTCTCACACTATAAAGCAACTATTTTAAAATCTTCCTTTCTCTCCCATACTGCTTCCCCTTCCCCACCACCAAATTCACAAACCTTGCAGAGACCCTCACCTTCTGTTTCTTCTCCCTTGTTTCAACAGTTTATGAAGTGTCATCCCTCCAATCAAAAGCTCATTCCTCTACCCATGCCCTGGGTCTCACTTTTTCTCTATCTTTATTTTAAAATATTCATCTCCTAGGGCTGGAGAGATGGCTCAGCAATTAAGAACACTGGTTGTTCTTGCAGAAGACCCGGGTTCGAATCCCAGAACCCACATGGCAACTAACAACTGTCTGTAACTCCAGTCCCAGGGGATCCGACAGCCTCTTCTGACTCCCCGGGCACTGAACAACATGGGTGCCCTTACCTACATGCAGGCAGTACATGCATACACATAAAATAATAATAAATAAAAAAAATTCATCTCCCCAGTTAACCCTATCCCTCGAGTTCCTTCCATGCTTTACACAGTCTTTCAGCTACCAAATAATCTTTCTTCTTCCCCTCATAGTAAGTTTCTTGAATTACGTGTACCCTCTTCTCCATTGGCTTCCTCATTCCCCATCAGTTTTCTGCCCTCCAACTTTTGCTACCACCATGCCTATAAAACTGCACTCTCGGGACACCAGCAGAGGCAGAAGACACTCCCAAAACTAGAGCTTTAAGGTTCCTCATTGTATGAGCAGCAAGCGTCCCAGCTGTTTCAGAGGATGAGTGGAGGTGTTAAAAGGCATTTCTGAGAAACAGCCTAAAGGAATTTCAGGAACAAAAGGGACCCAAAATTCCAAATACTCCAGGATGACCAGTAGGAGGGATGGGAAAAGGAGGATTTCTTTCCTCTTTCAAAATAAGTATTCACTTTTATACCTAATTTTGTATTCTTTAAGAGAATCCCAAAATTGTATAGCCCAGACTCCCATGAAACTTGCCTCCTTCTTTGGATGTCTTCAGCTTCAGTAAAGTCGATGAACACTTTTATGTCTTCTCTGCACTCTGCGGTATTTGACAAACATGGTCTTGGTCTTTTCCACATTGACACGCTCTTTGGCTTCCATAACTCCACCCTCTCGTGATTTCCTGCCCACTTTGGTCTGTCTTTCTCTTCTGCTAGCGTGCATGTCATTTTCCTCTTCTCTCACCTCTTCGCCTTGATAACTCCTACACAACCTTTAGGTTTCAGTTTAATTTTCAAACTTCCTCAGGGAGCCAATTCTCTGATCTCCTGGTTAGGTAACTCTCCCACAGCACTGTAGTCTTCATTCAGAATAATGATTATCATACCAGTAGTTAACTGTCTTGTCATTATCTGTATAGTAGCCCACTTGAACTATGGGAATCTGAGTTCAAGGGTTGTGTCTGTCTTGGTAACCACAATCTCTCCAGTGCCCAGCATGTGGCAGAGCCACACTACTCAGTGTTGACCAAGTGTATTTGTCAGTCCAACCCCGTACAGCCCAAAAATCTCCCTTGAGGGAAACTATCTACCAAAGTACAAGGAATCACAGAAACGTGTCACACAGCATAGTTACTGCCTAGGTAGCTCCAGGTCTTCACAGGAATCAGTCTCATAATCCTCAATAACCAGCCATGCTCCCAGCACCCTCTGCACCCAAGCCTGTTACGTGTTCTCATCGCCATCACGTTGCTGCCTACCTTAATGACAGCAGTTGCTTTCACCCTTCTGCTGTAGGACCTATGCCCAAGTTCATCACATAGTGCTCTTCAGAATGAAAATACTGAAAACACCTTTTTCAATGGGGAGAGAAGGTACAGAAAAACTTTTCAGAAGAAGAGCCTTTGGTGAAATGACAAATACTTAACATTTTAGGTTACTTTACTAATCTAAAATTCATTTATAATGTTCTAAGGAAAATAGAAACGTATTATATATAATAGGCATTAACTATAATTAAATCCTATTGATTGACCTCAGATGTCGTATTTCACTCCCCTCTTCCCAGTCTTGCTACAGCCCGATAGCTCCTGTTAACCCCAGAAGCCTCCAAAAGCACCCCTTCCTTCCACTCTTAACCTTCTCCAATACATTCTCCGTACTTCTGCCATAGTATCCAATCTAAAAGACCCTGGCCAAGGCTTTTCCTATTTTAGACTCTTTCAGTAGTGGACCAGATATTTTTCGCACAGCACTTGGGGCCTTAGCCATAGTCTTTCTCTCCCTGCTCCATGTCCACAGCGCACTGGCTTGCTGACTTACCCTTCATCATAGTACATGCCAACAATGATGCAATTTACTTGTTTTCTGTCTCTGCTGTGTGTGACATCCTCCCTTATCACACAGTAGTTAACAGTACTATAGGATCAACCTCTTTCATTTCACAAACTGTGTTCAGTGCTTCACAAACTTTATCTCATTCAGTCGTCACTTCAACCTAATGAGAACCTGGTGTTATTAATATTCATTTAACAGATTGCAAATATGAGGTCTAAAAAGGTTCATTTATGCCCAAGGTCACACAAATAGAAAGTAGTAGGCTATGGATTCAAATTCAGATATATATATATAATCTCAATACTTTAACATATTAGTGTGTGTTAATTTACAAACAGAAGATGTTATCCACATTATAGTAAAAAGAAGTAGAACTCTATTATGCATTATTTATAATCTATTTAGAAGTAACTTTATATTTTATTTGAAAAAATAAAGTGTGCAAAAAATTAATTTGTTAATTACCTAGGCAGAAAGAGAGATCAATACTGGTTATCCTTTGGAAGAAAAAAAAATCAAGATGAGAAAGTCTGTAAGTGAGCAAGCCCACACTGCTTCATTCTCTCAGGGAAATAGAAGCCTCTTCTTAGGCTGCCACCGAAGTGGGAGGAATCTGAAGTACCGATCCTCAAAAGACAGCGCAGGTTGTTTACATTAAAACTCCCTCCTCCATGGTTCTTAGAAATGAGCATCAGTGAATAAGGGCTTGGTAACAATAGATGAGGCTGCAGCTTTCTTCCTTTCTCAAGGGAAAATTTTTTCTCCAAAATTTCACCTTTTTCCAAGCCTTCCCATCCTGACTCTGGATTTCCTTAACTTTTCATGTCATCTCAGACCTAATAAGACCTCTGAGAATGGTGCCTCCTGCCTAGGGCTAACTGCTAATCACGTCTTCTGGTTGTAACCTGGACACACTCTTGTTAACCATCATTCAGGTCTCCTTCCTCTGATGACAATGTAGAGTCATCAGTTTGCATAACATAGCACGACAGATATTATTATGGTCCGTTTAAAAAAGCAGTCTGCTTTGCTATCAGATTCCCTCCAAAGCTAACTACCCAATCCATTTTGATATTAAGGAAGAATGTCAAGAAGATTTTTAGTGCTTTCCTGTTCAACTCATTAGAAAAACTTGTCCAAAACTGACAGTGAGCCACCAAAAACTTTATTTAAATGAAATGGTCACCTTAATCAATGTATACCCATCAGCATTGGCTCATAGTGAATCATATTCTGCAATGTGTTTGGGGAATTGCATGGTAATTCAGTTACCAAAGTATTACTGAGTTCTTACTATGTGCCAGCACTGTGCAAAAGACCCAGAGACACAGAAAAGAAAGAAACATGTCTTGCGACATGTGCTTCAGTTATGTGCAATGCGGCCAGACACATACAAAGAAGTTTATACAAGAGGCAGTAGGGGGGCTGGAGAGATGGCTCAGCAGTTAAGAACACTGACTGCTCTTGCAGAGGACCTAGGTTCAATTCCCGTGAGCACCCATGTGGCGGCTACAAACCGTCCTTAACTCCAGTTCCAGGGGATTCAACTCCTTCTTCTGATCTCCTCAGGCATTGCATAACACAGGTATGCTTCCACACATGCAGGAGAGAGAGAGAGAGAGAGAGAGAGAGAGAGAGAGAGAGAGAGAGAGAGAGAAACAGTCGATTCTACCTCAGAGACAAATCTGCACAGCATTGTCATCACTGTGACAGATACTTGAAGGGAACAATTTAAAGAAGGAAGGATTTGTTTCACCTCGGACTTTCAGAGGTTGGTCCTAGTCCATGTTTGAGTAGTCCGACTGCTTTGAGCCTGAGACAAGGCAGAATATCAAGACAGTGTTTGCATGTGGCCTAGGGAATGACTGGCCTCAATATGGCCAGGAAGCACAAAAATATAAGGGGTCAGAGACAAGATATACCCTTCAAAGGCATACTCCCAGTGATCTGCTTCTTCCAAACAGGCCTTACTTCCTACTTTCTGTTATCTCCAATAATGCACAAGATTATGAATCCATCAGTGGAAGAATTCATTGATTACATCAGAACTTTCATGATCCAATGCCCTCTCAATGAGCCTATTGGGAAACATTCTTGATCCAAACCATAACAGAGTTAGGAATGTCTTCCCAGAGAATACGGAACCTTGGCTAGACCTAGAAAATATAGATGGGGACCAAGAGGGGATTCCAATTAGAGCAGAATTTTAAAAATCCACACCCAACAGGGTAGCAGGCTTGAGAGTTGGTGAAACACTTCTTTATGTGTTGCTTAATTTAATCCCTCAACCACTCTAGAAGGTAAGGATTAGCCTAAGGGATGCCTAAACTGCAAGGGCCTTTAATTTAAGATGGTGAAGCTCAGGACCAGAGAGAGTAAACTGTCAACAATTAATGACTTGTCACCAGCCCTCAGGCACAACACCCGTACATGTGAAGTCTCAATAGCTGTAGAGAACTAACTGTTAAATATTCAGGAATTTTTGAAAGCTTATTGTCATATACGCCCTTGGTAGCTTGAAATGGACTACACCACAGAGACTGTTAGACTGCCAACCATTCACCCGACTCCTTGTCCTTCAGTTTTTTTAGTTTTTTCTTGTTTGGCAGTTCAACAGCATAACACCGTCCACATAATAAAGTGACTGTACACAAACCTATACATAGATGCAGACCAAAAGTCCTACCAATGTAGCTCTTCTCTGAGTTTGAAGTCACTTGTCAGAAAGGAAAAGTCTGAATGATTAGACCACATACAAAAAAAATCCTACCCAATTCATTTTTATATCAGTAATTATTTGTGAAATTCCTTACTCATTCTCTGGCCTTTGTGAGATAGAATAAATGGCCTAAGACACAGTCTCTACCTGTGAGGAAATACTCCAGTGTTGGAGAAGATGTGAATACTGGCCAGCTAGTTCATTCATTTTTAGGTCAACCTTGCCATATTTAAAAATTCCAGTTCTACATTTGGTCTCTTGCTGGCACATCATCTCACCGTCATTTATGCGTTTACGTGCGTGCGCACACACACACACACACACACACACACACACACACAAACCAAGTTGGAGCTCGGCAGTGATTTATAATTTTTTAAAACATAGTTATTTGAAGCCAGAAGATATTTGCTCCTATCATATAGTGCTCCTATCATATAGTGCTCCTATCATATAGTGCTCTTGGTTGGAGATCTTCACCACCACCATCCCCCTTTGTATTTGTAAAGTTCCTGTTTATTTTCATAGCCCCACCTTGGCGCCTTCACATTTTATGTGGCATCCTTCCCTTCCTACTTTTCTAAAAGTATTGTGCTCCATTGACATAGTTTATAAACACTTTCAACAAACCTTTCAGTAAACAGAACTCCCTGAGAGGCAGAATGAGTCAACCCAGGCCAATCTCCTGGTTAAAGCACCTCGCAGGGAGTGCACAGTAATCTAGGGACCTCTGTACAATATGCTACATTGTCAATTCACGTCTTCATCTTAAACAACTCCACCTCATACTAGCTCACTGCAGATCTCTTGAAAACTCCACAAGTAGCATACTTGAAATATCAGACATTTTTCTTAAAAACATCTGGGATTCTCTTCAAGTGCTGGTCACTGAGGTTTATATGCTGGTGTGTCTATGTGGGAAAGAGATATTTACAGATATTGAATTTGCTTAATAAAACATTTTTTGTGCCTCTTGCTGTAATCTTTGCAGGCTCACAGTGAAGACTTCTTTGAGCTTCTGTTAAGCACATTTCTACAGTGCTATCTATGCTAGGTCTAAGTCTGAAAATGCACCCAGCTTTGCAGAAATCTGGCATTTATTCAGTGCTTTTTGTTGTGGTTTTGTTGCTCTGTTTTTACAATATCAGCCGATAAACCGATAATCTGTTGGTTTCTAGAATTTACTTGGAACACACAACTTGGGAAGAGTCTACTATGAACCCATTAAAGATAGGCATGGCAACATACTCATAGTCACCATCAGAGAAGTGGAGATGCTTTATTCTTTTTTTAACGGCAAATGGATGCAGATCTCAAAACTGCAAAGCCAGAGGAAGTCTCTGTCAACACCTGAGGAACCAACAGCCTTAGACATTTTACTAATAACCATCCAGGTATGCCGTTTTTTATTTTTCAATTCCTATTTCTGTTTCTAATACAATTACAGAAGCTCTAATAAAATATGCCAAGAGCCATTTACATAAATGGTAACAGGATGGAGTCAATGGATGAGTCATTCAGATCTCACATGTAGGAGACTGTGCCTTACTTTCATTTGTTTCCACATGGAACTTATCAAGCAATACTAACAGTGGGTGCTCTGAAAATACCCTGACAACTGTATTAGTTACTTTAATATTACTGTGACCAAAATACCCCAGAGAAACAATTTAAGGTTTAAAAGAATGTGTATTTCAGCTCACAGTTGCAGAGTGTTGCAGTCCAGCAAAATAGAAAGTCATGGCACAGTGGTTGGGTCGTGCTGGTGGGAACCTACAGCAACAGCTGTTCGTAAGGCTGCAGACCAGAAGCACTGAGTGGCCAGCCAGAACTAGGAGCTAGGCTAATAACCTACAAAGACACCCCCGTAGTGAGCTACTTCCACTAGCTAGACCCTACCTCCTAAAGGTTTCATAGTCCTCCACGATAGCCCTACCAATCAAGGGAACAAGTGCTCAAAACACGAACCTATGGGGGACATTTCAGAGTCAAACCATACCACCAGTGAATCGATAAGAAACACCGAGACTAATATTTGAGTAGGAATCTACAGAAGAGTGCCACAAAGATTAACTCAATACCAGAATGGGCTGTAATAATGCATTCTATATGTATGTGTGTGTTATTTGTATTAACTACATGACACTGAACAAAAATACTCCTATTTACTCTTGCTTGTTTGTAATACTTTCCTGAGACAGAGAGTCATGATTAAATCCATTTTTGGAATGAAATAACTGGGATTCAAAGAGGTTAAGGGACATAGGACTACACACAGAGGTAGATTTGGGGAAGCTAAATGAAACTTTGACTTCTATTCTAGTTTCTTTCAACTGCTATGAGAAAAATACTGACCAAATCCAACTTGGGGAGGAAAGGGTATATTTGGCTTATAAGCACAGTCCATCATCAAGGGAAGCCAAGACGGGAACTCAGGGCAGGAACCTGGAGCACAGACCATGGAGGTGTGTTGCTTACTGGCTTGCTCCCCTAGCCTGTGCTTAGCCTACTTTCTTATACAAATCATGTCCACCTGCCCAGGGGTGACACTGCCCACAGTGGCCTGGGCCCTTGCACATCACTCACTAAACAATCAAGAAAATGCCCCACAGACAACATGGCCATAGGTCAGTCCAATGGAAGCAATTCCCCAGTTGAGGCTCCTTCAACCCTGGTGTGTCAAGTTGACGGCTAAAGCCATCTAGCACATTATTTAGTTTTTCACTTACTCAAGCCTTGAGTACACATCCCCCCAGCATACTAGTACTTTCACATTGAAAATTTTATATATATTTTTAAAAAACCATTTATTTATTGGGGGAAGATTTGCAGGAATCAGTTCTCTCCTTTCACCGTATGGGTCCCAGAATAGAACTCAGGTCATCAGGCTTGGAAGCAAGCACCTTTACCCACTGACAGTTCAGCTCAGTTCATCTGGTGGAAGTAGACTTCTTTCTGCCCTGTTATATTATGTTGGAGGGTAGAGTTAGGATGTTAGTGAGGAATAGGAGATGAAACACTGACGTGGGACTTTAATTAGGGGTGGAAGACAGGAGTATCAAATAGCCACCAAAATTCAAGACCCAAGCAGTTCACATGTAGACTTGGGCTAGACAGCATCACTGGGCCACAGGCCACATCTGTTCATGAGTGTGTATGCTCTGGCCTGGCTGCCTCCCTGGCTCACGTGTTCTTATGTGACATGGGTTTCAAGCTGCTTCTTTTTCCTTCTTTTATTTTATTATTTATTTATTTACTTATTTATTTATTTATTATTGGTCTTTTTGAGACAGGGTCTCCCTGTAGCCCCAGCTTGTCTGGAACTCACTATGTAGACCAGGTTGGTCTCAAACTCACAGAGATCTGCCTGCCTCTGCCTCCCAAGGGCTGGGATTAAAGGCATGTTGCCAGCATGCCCGGCTTTTTCTTTTAGTATTTTAAAACCTCATTGATGTTATAGAATTCACCAATTAGGTAAAAAAGCTGGGAGAAAATATCTCCACTGAGCTCCACAGACAACACAAATCCAAGCCTCAGCCCCACCAGCTCTTCATGGTCACCGTAACAACTAACTTACTTTCACTCCCAATGGAGTGTCTAATGCAGTGATCTCACCTGGTCACTACTTGCACTGGCCCAAACCAGGACAAAGTTCAATATGACAGAGGTAATCTAATTGATCAAATCCATTACCTCTGGATTTGATTTTGTGGAAATTTGGGTTCATAGGAAATTGACAGACTGTATCTGCATGTATAAAGTGGATGGGGGCAGGGAATACAGACATTCGTGGCTCCCCTCTTCACCTTTTATAAATAAGTGCTAAAAGAAACATTTAAGAAATCATAATAAATTGAGCTTTTACAGGGTGACTAATACACTAATCCCCTATAGGGATAAACTGGGGTCTGGGCTACCTTTGCTCCTAGAAACACAGCACAGGCCCCAGCATGATATAATACCTGGTTTCTCCTAGACTTATTACATTAAAAATGTGTTACAGGTGCAGAAAAATTCCAATCTGATGAAAGGTTATTAGAGAAGGAAACCAAAAATAGAGGCAGGATCAGGTTTCCACACAAATCCAAGTGGAAAATTCACCCCCACTGACTGGAGCATTCCTGCTTGATGTCACTCCCACCCACCCCCTCTCCTTTCTCCCTCTCCCACCTCTTCACTCCCACCTCCCATACAGGTCTTCTGCTGGACAGGAAGTAGAGAGTAAGACTTTTAGGGTTGGTAGCCAATCACTCCTAGACTGAAGATTTAATTATGTAGGAAGCTGGCTTCACCAGCTCAACATGAGGGTTGAGACAGAGCTTGGTGGCCCAAAGCAGTGGCAAGCCACAAATCACATTCTGCTCTCAAAGCAGTGAAGACCACCATGCACCCTGATGGAGATCTTGACTTCTTCCTTGTACCTCACAACACACTCTGCAGAACCCCTTTAGAATCAGGGTGACCAGGTAACATTCCTAATCCACCTCCTAGTTATTCCTAACCCACCCAGAGCAAGTTATTCCTCAACCCCATCTCTTCTACAGAAAACCGTACTACATAGGATTCTGATGAAGATTAAAAGAGTCAATATATAAACATCAGAAGAGCAACACACACAGTAAATGTTCATGATTTTTATTATTTCTCTACTTTTAAAAAAAGTCCAAGCAATGTGGGGCTCCCCTCAGATCACTCCTAGACCCTCTTCTTCCCTAGCCCCCTGAGAATGTCTGCTCCTGGCTGGTCATCCCATGAAAAGTGAAATCATCACTTCATCTACCTTTTCACAATTAAAAAATCTGCATAAAAAATGCTATGATTCACAATGGAGGTTTTACAATAGGTCGGGACTTTAGCAAAATCTCATTCCATAGCTAATCTACTAATCCACAGGACCCTGGGGAAACTCCAACATCCAATTCCCTCAAATTCCTCACCTCAAATCCCAGTCCTTCAATTTGTTCTCTATCATGTATCTTGGGAAGAAAAATCTTTTTCATGTTTGTTTGGGATGTCAAAGAGATGTTCTGAACAAATTAAGAATCCCACTAAGCAAACTAACTGGCAGTGGAGGGATTTCCCATAAGAAGGCCCCTCCTGGGTGCTGGCTTATTCTATCATCTTCAGGAGTCACTCAGTAACTAGACACCTCAAATGCGAAATTTCCTCCAAACATCAACTTTTTACATGAGTACTATATATTCAACTTTGCGGAAGATTGTCACACTTATGGTTTCATAGGATTCTCATGAAAACCTAGTGAGGCTAAATAATTCTGTGTCCACTTTATACACAAAGACACGGATTTCAAGAAATAACTTGCCAATATCACATTCCCCAAAAATCAGCTAGAAAGAGGACCCAGACCTTCTGTCACCTAGCCTGATGCCCTTCCCACTCTACTGTGTTGCTGATGCACTCCACCTCCTTTCTCCAAAGGATGTCCTAAGGAAACTTTCCCATCTTGGCTTTCTCTTTCCTGTCTTTAGGGACCCACTCCCAGTCACCCTAGATACTTGTTATCTTCTGGAACTCCAGATACTTAATACCTATTATTACCTCTTCTGCCTTTTCTGCTGTTTTATCTGTACATTCCTACCCTTCCTACCCTCAAGTACAATCTGACACAGGTATCAAAAGGATCACAAGTATCAGTGGAAATGAGCTACCTGGGACGGACTCAAGAAACAACTGAATTCACTGATGTGCCTATGGCACTATTCATAATAGCCAAAGAATATAAGCAACCTTCACTGGCTAATACCTACTAAATGGGTAAGCAAAAATAGAGGATAGTCATGTAGTGGAAAATTATGCAGCCATAAAATGAATGAAATAGGATCCACGTTACAGTATAGATGAAGCTTGAAAACCACACTAAGCAAAAGAAGCCAGATATAAATGTCACAGATTATATGATTCAATTCTTAGGCTGTATCTCTAATAAGCAAGAGCAATGAATGAGACAGAGAGTCTAGGGGAAGCCGGGGAAGAGGGTACATAATGACAGGTAATGAGTGTGAGACTTCTTTCTAGAGCAATTTAAATGCTCTGGGTATTAGTGGTGATCATTGCACAACCTTATAAATAGACTAAACACCATTGAATTGCATGCTTTGTGAAGATGAATTGTATGAGCTCTATCTCAGTTTGAAAGAAGATTCAGTGGGAGTAATGGGGACTATAGTAATCCGAAGGGCCCTTGTTCCCATGAAGAGGGCAGCCTCCAGTCAGTCCCAGGTGATTGCAGTGTAAGAACATGGTTCCGTCATCGAAATATTTTCCAGTTTTTACAAAGAAACTGGAAATGCAGGATTTAGGGTAAGATTTCTTTTTTAAAAGCCACAAAACAATTCAGAAAATTTAGATACTTTCTGGTCTATGTAATCGTAGA